CTTGAAATACATCCACAGGTACACCTCCAATTGACTCAAATTATGTAAATTAGCCTATCAGAAGCGTCTAATGCCATGACATCATTTTCTGGAATTTTCTAAGCCTTTTAAAGGCACAGTCAACTTAGTGTATGTAAACTTCTGACCCACTGGAATTGTGATACAGTGAAATAATCTGTCTGTAAACAATTGTTGGAAACATTTATTTTGTCATGCACAAAGTAGATGTCCTAACCGACTTACCAAAACGATAGTTTGTTAACAAGAAATGTGTGGAGTGGTTGAAAAACAGGTTTTAATGACTCCAACCTAAGTGTATGTAAACTCCCGACTTCAACTGTAGCTAATCCATCACCGGATGATGTCTGTTAGGAAAGTGAGTATTACAATTACATGGTGACTAGTTATAAATTAAATATTTTATGGTTCTTTTGTTATCGCATGCACTTATGTCAGCCTTTAACAAGGCTGCAGAACTGACAGTGTACAAGCTTAAAGTTCCTGAACAGTCATTCTGATTCCCATGTAAAATAGCCTTGTGAGTGACTAGAATATCACCCATAATTTAAAAAAGTATATAGAAATGCTCTACATTTTTGAAAAATAACGTTTTCTCTCATGGCTAACTACCGGGCAGTTTGAAAAGACAGGCTAAGTGGGCGGGGAGCATGAGCTCGCCTTGATTGACAGCTCTTTGAAACACCTATGTCAAGCAACTTGGATGCAGTGTTGCAGTAAAATCATCTCAAGCTAATTTGGAGATACACGAAGGAACTCAAACAACATTAAAATTGCATCAATGATGTCTGTTTTATACATCTCCCATTTGGCATGTCTCTTGTGATGCAGTTCACAGTAGCACTGATGTGTTGACTTGACAACTGTCAGAGTTTTGAACGACCCTTACCCACCTTTTGTTTCATGCTGGCTGAAGACCTAGCTACCCAGTAACTAGCTAACACCAGACACAGATGAAAGGGGAAACATATAATTATCTTTGCCATAGTTGAATAAGGTACAATTTTAATTATATTTGCTGACACCCAAGAGTCAGATTTTGGCACCAGTAGAGTAGCTATCTAGCTATATAAACCACGCCCTTCTGCAAATGCCTTCTCCGATGTTGGTTTCAAGGCAGTACTTATTTAAATTAGGTAAGACAGTATCATGTTACCATTGGTGTATTAAAATGAGTTAGGGTGATGCTGCTCTCATCCCCTTAATAATCCCGCCTCCTGAGTCCAAGTGTTTGACACAGGGGAAGGGACCAGTAACTTTATGATCAAACTTTATCAATGTAGAGAAGCAACAGTAATTTACTTTAGTCATCATACTTTGATCTGGTTTGGTCTAAATATCATCCAATTTCATGAAAAACATGATCTTTAAAGTTTATGAGCACATTCCCTCTTATGGGAGACCAAAAAGAGCTAGCTGAAAGCCACGCCACAAATAAGCCACGCCTTTTACAGTATGCTGCCAATCAGCAGGTGGTGTGCATGTTGTCAACAGAAGTCAGTGAAGGCATTTTATAGGAATCACACCTTCAAGTTGTTGTACATATTTACTTAATTTTTACTGCAACTTGCAGAAATGTATTCTTGACAATCTCCGGTATGTCCACAGTCCTGGTGGAACAGCAGGAACTTCAAGTTGCTAGCAAGAGTTTGTGAGTTCAAATCCCAAGTGAGGTTGAGTCCCAAGTCATCTGCATACTGTCCATTAACACCTAAATGTAGCTGTAAAAATACAATAACTAGTTGTAGATTTACCATATTTGCACTAGACAAAAACCCCAGGGTACCATGACTGTTAAAAGTGAATTAATGTAAATTGTGCCTTTCAAAGTAAAATGTTCTAAATTACATTTGACACCTTGGTTTTCAAATGTTGTCACATTTGTAGTTTCATGTTATCACGTTGAAATTTTGTGTCCCCATGTTGTCACATTTATTTCACATTAATTTCAGATGAGATCATGTTCTGACGTGCTCACATGTTGTCACATGTAGTTTTATGTTGTCACATGTTGCGTCGCATGTTATCACATTAACTTCACATTAAATCACAAAAGATCAAATGTGTTCATGTGAAATTCATGTGGTTTTTTCATAAGGGTTCTCTGACACCTCAGGTCAACTGTTGTCTCCAGAGTGACAGGTCAGCTTCTCGCTCTAGTGGTATGTAGGGTTGGCTCCAGGGTGCAAAGTGCTGGTGGGAGGCTGGGAGGGTGGGAGGCTTCATTGGTGCATGTGACCTGGGGAACACACTGGATGTCTCAGCTGCTGGGATTACTGCAGAGAAGAGGAGGTCAAAGAGAAGTGGTTCTGCTATAGTGCAGCCTCTCCTGGGGATGTCACCTTCCCTGAGACGATGGGACCTGAAGTCATCTGTCACTTAGCTAGCTAGTAAATGCTAGTTGGTACCAGAGTGCAGAGTGCCAGTCAGCCAGTGGCAGGTATCATATAAAATCTAGGCAGGGTTGGAACAAGGCAAGCTACATAAACACAAGCTTCCGCTTTCCGAAGCATAACAGACACTCCCAAGGTCCTAACATTGTGGAATGTGATTGCTGTTACTCCTGTTGCAACTGACCCCCTCAATAACAAGGACTTTTCTTGGGATTGTTTTAGTGCCTGGCTGTCACATAGCCTACTGTATAAAGGTTGAGTGACCAAAAGCAGGCTAGTCTGTTACATACCATGGCCAAAGTGCAGTTGCAGTACTGTCTTTGTCCCAGCTACACTACTGTTACCGGGCTTCCTCCTCTCCCCTCGTTCTTCAATTCCTACACAGAGCGTTGACCAGAACCGTAACCTAGTTCAGTGTGCTGACTCAGGCCTGGTGAATCTATACTGAACAAAAATATAAACACAACAATTTCAAAGTTACAGTTCATATGAGGAAATCAGTCAATTGAAATAAATTAATTAGGCCCTAATCTATGGATTTCACATAACTGGGAATACAGATATGCATCTGTTGGTCAGAGATACCTTACAAAATAATTGTCCTCACAATGGGCCTCAGGATCTCGTCACTGTATTTCTGTGCATTCAAATTGGCATCTATAAAATGCAATTGTGTTTGTTGTCCATACCATAATCCCACCGCCACCATGCCATGGGGCACTCTGTTCACAACGTTAACATCAGCAAAACGCTCACCCACACGAGGCCATACACATGTTCTGCGGTTGTGAGACCGGTTGGACGTACTGCCAAATTCTCTAAAACAACGTTGGAGGCGGCTTATGGTAGAGAAATGAACATTAAATTCTTTGGCAACAGCTCTGCTGGACATTCCTGCAGTCAGCATGCCAATTGCACGCTCCCTCAAAACTTGAGACATTTGTAGCATTGTGTTGTGTGACACAACTGCACATTTTAGAGTGGCCTTTTATTGTCCCCAGCACAAGGTGCACCTGTGTAATGATCATGCTGTTTAATCATCTTATTGATATGCCACACCTGTCAGGTGGATGGATTATCTTGGCAAAGGAGAAATGCTCGCTAACAGGGATGTAAACAAATGTGTGCACAAAATTGAAGAGAAATAAGATTTTTGTGCATATGGAAAATGTCTGGGATCTTTTATTTCAGCTCATGAAACATGGGACCAACACTTTACATGTTGCGTTTATATTTTTGTTCAGTGTAGATGGTGTGTGTGAAGTAAGATTCTAGGACCCTCTACTACCTGCAACCCTGCTGATGCTGTGTCTCTTTCAGTTGCCATGAGCATGAGACACCATCTTGGAAATGCTACCTTCTCCCCATCGCATCAGTTGTTTCTGGCATCCCACCACCACCTCATAATATCGACTTCCATTCAGGCTCATTGTAAGATGATAGCTATGGTTCATGATTGTGTTCCTCGTGTCAGCCATGTTCCATCAGGGTCCCTTACAATTAAATGCACACACACACACGCACGGACACACCCAATCACGCACAAGACATTACATTTTTTTATAAAATATAAAGAAGCAATTAAACAGCAGTGTCAAAGAGATTCCCTGCAGGTATAATGCAACGAGCACCTTGTGAGAGCAAACCACACTCCCTGAACTCCACAGGGTGTTAGGTCATACACCACCAACAGCATCTACTGAGAACTGTTTGTTCACTGCTGCTATATAACATAAAAGGACAACATATGTGTGCTTCTATAACACATATATTGCATACAAAATGGCAATCATAAATATGGGGAGAAAAGATGTAGCAGATTCGCGCAAATTTATGTGGTTATTATTAATCATAATCTGCTACACGACAGGCTGCAGAAATAACAAGGGCCTAGTTTTTTAATGAGTGTCATCATCCAGGGCATGTATCATTATAATGTTTTGTTTTTCACAGGCAAACACAGCACCATCTTTGCTTTGGTAATTTACCAGCAGAATGGCAGCAGGCTCCTGTTTTGGTAGTTTGCAGCATCTGTATTGTCGGATGTGCGTGAGACAAAATGGAGAGCCAGACGGCCAGCTACAATGAAACTTCCTCCAATTGCATCACGGAACGAAAAACAATCCCAGAATGCTTTGTGTTTAGCTCCGTTAGAAGGGGGAGGTCAAAAGGTAAAAACTAAACACTAGGGTATAAACAGAAAGTGGATCTATCTTTATACTGTTCTCTCTGTTTCCACCTCCCTCTCTGACACAGACACACACTTTGTAGCGCTATCTGTCTGTGTCTGACGTACCCTCTTCCACACGTTCTATATTTATTTCTCTCTCTTTCTCACCTAAGTTTGCTGAGCTCGTCCCTTCCTATATGAACAACACTCCTTATTCACTCAGGACAAATACAAGAGCTCATACATGCACATGGTCACAGTCACATACACACACTGTAGGCACAGTTCTCTGTGCTGTTGCCTCTTCTTTGCCTGTCAGTGATTCAGTAGAGTGCTCTGGCCAGCTGGCCTGGCTCAGAGGATTAAAGCAGTGTTTATGCTTTTTTAATCATAACTGAAATGGGCAGTGTCATTACACAATGATTCACAGAGGCCGCGACCCTCAAAGCACATTAATCCTTATGCTGTGTTGGGTGAGGAGTGGACGTGTGTTAATGTGTGTGTGTGTGTGTGTGTGTGAGAGAGGGTAACATTACCTCAAGATATAATGTATGCACTCACTAACTGTAAGTCGCTCTGGATAAGAGCGTCTGCTAAATAACTAAAATGTAAAATGATGTAAATGTGTGTGACTTCTGTCAGTGCGGTGTGTGTTCTAAGAGGAAATTATGAAAGCTACAGCCGGATTAAGCTGATCTCAGCTGCAACGTGGGAATGAATAAATCGCTGTGTTTTGAGTCCGTTTAACGTTTTGAGTGCACTTCAACTGCAAATAAAGTTTGTAAACAGTAATTACAGAAATTTCACTCTCTCCTTCCTCCCTCTGCACTTCCTCTCCTCCCGGTTCTCCCTCTCTTCCTCCATCGACCATCATCCTTCCTCCCTCTGCCCCCCTCTATCCTCCCTCGCTCCTTCCATCCTTCATCTACCATCCTTCTTGGTCTCTCTCCCCCATCCCTCCAGGTGCCATCTGATGACTCACTAGGTCTGCTACCAGAGCCCCAGGTAGCCATGTTCTGTGGGAAGCTGAATATGCACGTCAACGTCCAGAGTGGCAAGTGGGAGCCGGACCCCTCCGGCACCAAGAGCTGCATCGGAACCAAGAATGGCATCCTGCAGTACTGCCAGGAGGTTGGAGGAGAGGGAGGGGGAGGGAAAGGTGGCAGAGAGAGGAAAGCATGAGCGGTAGGAAAAAGAGAAATAAAGAAAGGTGAAAGGAGAGTGGAAGAGGGTGGTTGATTAGGAAGATAGAGGGGTGGAAGCTAAATGAAATTAGGGCGAGAAAGAGAAACAAGGGAGATCTGAGGTAAATGTCAGGAATATTACACCAATACAAAACAACTGTGTGAAGTCTTGTACAATCATTGAATCCTGCTCCTTCCCCAGGTGTACCCTGAGCTCCAGAGCACTAACGTGGTGGAGGCCAACCAGCCAGTCAGCATCCAGAACTGGTGCAAGAAGGGACGCAAGCAGTGTCGCAGTCACACACACATCGTGGTGCCCTACCGCTGCCTGGGTAAGCTGTGTGTATGTGCTTGTGTGTGTGTGTGTGTGTGTGTGCTTGAGTGTTTATGAGAGACTCCATAATCTGTGTGTGTTTTGCAGTTGGGGAGTTTGTGAGTGATGCCCTGCTGGTTCCTGATAAGTGCAAGTTCCAGCACCAGGAGAGAATGGACATGTGTGAGAGCCACCTGCACTGGCACACCGTGGCTAAAGAGGTGAGGACACATGCTTTTCACTTCATTTTCACGCCATTCTGTTGTGTTCAGGTATGCTCCTCCCCAGTCTCTCCTCCCCAGTCTCTCCTCTGTCTAGTGTTCTCTCTCTCATCCGCATTCTCTCGCTCGTATTCTCTCTCTCGCTCGTATTCTCTCTCTCACTCGTATTCTCTCTCTCGCTCGTATTCTCTCCTCTTCTATCTCTCTCCTATATCTATCTAGTATTCTCTCCTCCTATCTCTCGTTCTCTATCTATCTAGTTCTCTCTCAATTCAATTCAAAGGGCTTTATTAGCATGGGAAACATATGTTTACATTGCCAAAGCAAGTGAAATAGATAATAAACAAAAGTGTAATAAAAAATTAACAGTAAACATTACACTCATAAAAGTTCCAAAGGAATAGAGCCATTTCAAATGTCATGTTATGGCTATATACAATGATGTAACGATGTGCAAATAGTTAAAGTACAAAAGGGAAAATAAATCAACATAAATATGGGTTGTATTTACAATGGCGTTTGTTCTTCACTGGTTGCCCTTTTCTTGTGGCAACAGGTCACAAATCTTGCAGCTGTGATGGCACACTGTGGTATTTCACCCAATATTATCTACTCCTCTCTTGCCTGTCTGTCAATCTAGTATTCTTTCCTCTCTCTTTTGTATTCTCTACTCCTCTCCACTCTCTATCTATCTAGTGTCCTCTCCTCTCTTTCCTCTATCTAGTATTCTCTCATCTATCTAGTATTCTCTCCTCTTTCTCCTCTCTATCTAGTGTTCTGGGAGAGAGTGTGCTGTGCTGTGGTGATTCATCCTTCCCTGCAGGCCTGAATCCTCTCATCCCATCCTTCCTCCTTCTATTCTTTCACTGAATTTGAGTCAACTAGATTTTATAAGCTATAATTGTAAAAACGTAATTTTTTTGCTTTTTTGCTTCATATTATTGTTTTTGTCATGTGACCTGACCAGGAAACCGTCTTGGCACTAGTGATATGTAATTGCGTGTAAAGACCTGTGTCTCAAAAATAGATTTTTTCTAATTACTATTATTATCAGTCCTGTGGAGACCGCACCATGAATCTCCATGACTACGGCATGCTGTTGCCATGCGGCATCGACCGTTTCCGAGGGGTGGAGTTTGTGTGTTGCCCGGGAGACACGCAGCGCAAGTCAGACAGCATGGAGCTGACTGAGTCTGACATGTGGTGGGGCGGTACCGAGACTGAATACACCGATAACAGGTATACACGCACGCACGCGCGCGCACACACACAAATGTGTACACACAAAGGCACAAGCACAGGTGCATACAGTCAGACACAAACACACAGACATTTAAGCACACATATATCATCTTAAATGCTTACTCAAGTTCGTAAACCAGTGGTTAAACACTTTTGACAGATAACCTTCACAACCAGTCTACACACACTCACGAACACCCACCCTCCCTACAGCATGCCTCGCCAGGCGGATCAGGGGGCTGCCACCACTGAGGATGATGAGGATGCCCTTGATAGGGACGGTGACGGTGATGAGGATGATGATGATGATGAAGACGATGAGGATGAAATGACTGACGAACGGGATAGTGGTGAACGCACCTCCAACATCGCCATGACAACCACCACCACGGCCACCACTGAGTCGGTCGAGGAAGTTGTCAGAGGTAAGAGCATGGCATGGATGGAAAGAGATAAATACTTGTTGGTTGGTTTGTAGAGATGGATAAGATGGAGTGTGTATGTTTGAACATATGTGTAAACACACACCCAAGCAGTGTGTGTGTGTGTGTGTGTGTGTTTGCTCTGTGTGAGTGTGTATGTGTACATACTGCGTGTCGTTTGTTTTAAGAGTGTGTGTGTCTCTCTCAGAGGTATGTTGGGCACGTGCTGAATCGGGCCCATGCCATGCCATGCTGGAGCATTGGTACTTCGTGCCAGAGAAGGGCACCTGTGCCCCCTTCCTCTTTGGAGGGTGCGGGGGCAACCGGAATAATTTTGACTCAGAGGAATACTGCCTGTCTGTCTGCAGCACCAGTGTGTGTAAGTCCCTGTACTGAACCCCCGATATGGCCCTCTGTGCCCCTTACCTTGGGCCATGGGGACTGTCCACCCTGCTGTCTGCCTCTCTGAGCCGCCTGTCTGTCTAACACTGTCTACCTGTCTGTCTGATGTCTCTTAGAACATTGGAGCGTAAGTGATTCAGAGGGGTTGGGTTAAATGTGCAAGACACATTTCGGTTGAATCCATTCAGTTGTTCAACTGACTAGGTATCCCCTTTCCCATATGTACTACCAACTCTGAAAGGGGAAGATTTTTCAGTTCTAGATTTAGCAACACGTTGGTCAATGAAGCACCTTGAGGATACTTAACGTTTTTATTTAATTTCATTTAAGAGATATTCAGCTACTCTTAAAGGAAAATGGAAGGTCAATAAAAAGCACTGCATTAAATACTTTTATTGATATTACATTTTCCTTCAATAGTAGTTATTAAAGATGAACCATCACTATGGATAGCTAATAACAAACCTTGAGAGGGTCTGGGTCCAGGGTCTGGGTCCAGGGTCTGAGTCCAGGGTCTGAGTCCAGGGTCTGAGTCCAGGGTCTGAGTCCAGGGTCTGAGTCCAGGGTCTGAGTCCAGGGTCTGAGTCCAGGGTCTGAGTCCAGGGTCTGAGTCCAGGGTCTGAGTCCAGGGTCTGAGTCCAGGGTCTGAGTCCAGGGTCTGAGTCCATCTCAGCTATTGAATACTGTGGGAAGTGCAGAGGATTCCTATCAATATAGTCTGATCTAGTGGGTGTACAGACATCTTGGTACAGACAGAGGTTAACCTTTCGATTAGGTTATTCTGGTTTAAAAAAGAGATATAGCGACTTTAAGAAACAGCTGAGAAATATCTGAGCAGGAAAATAGCCATCACACTCCCTCCCTCACTCACTCACTCACCCTTTTACTCATCTGCTTTCGCAACGATTCTCTTACTCATTCCATCACTTGCCAACCAGCTCAATAACACTGGAGGTTATGAGTCTCTGTGGGTCTGATGGGGTCAGGGTAATGTGTGTGTGTGTGAGAGACAATATTTATGTCTAGTGATTTATGCTAGTCTGACCTGGCTGTGTGTGTTAATGAGTTCATGTCCTAACCGGCTTAACCAAACAACACCAGTCTCTCTTCATATTGGTGTGTGTGTGCATGTGACAATATTTATGTCTGATGATTTATGCTGGTCTGACCTGGCTGTGTGTGTTAATGAGTTCATGTCCTAACCGGCTTAACCTAACAACAGCAGTCTCTCTTCATATCACTTTATCAGTGTGTGTGGGTCAGTGGGTTGAGTCCGTTTTCCTGTCCCTCTCTTTTCTGGTACAGCACAACACTCCTCAGCGGGGAGTGTCAAGGCAGCGAGAAGTCAAGGCAGACAGATATATCACCTGTCACTCGCTGGCTGACAGGTTTAGCTGCTCTAACCAGTCTGCCGGGTCCACCTGTCTGTCTGTGTGTGTTCAGGACTTGAACGTCTAAGTACAGTTTCAGATTACAGTGGCAGATAATGTAGACTTGTGGAAGGAGGATATGCCACTGTTTAACAGTTAACTTCTCTCTCTGGACCCTTTTGTGGACATCCACTTTCCGCTCTACCTCTCCTCCGCCCTCCCCAGTGCCCACCAAGGCCCCCTCCCCCCCTGGCGTGGTGGACCATTACCTGGAGTCTCCCGGAGACTACAACGAACACGCCGACTTCCAGAAGGCCAAGGAAAGTCTGGAGGCCAAGCACCGCGAGAGGATGTCCCAGGTGTGTGTGTTTGAGCGAGAGAGAGTGCGAGAGAGTCAGTCAGTTTTGGCACATTTCACAGCATTAACAGCGAGAATAGTTACATTCTGCCCATAACACATATCAACACACACACACAGGGTGACGATAGCTTACCTTGGGTTTGTGATATGATGATGCAAAGGTTCCAAATGAACAATGTTACACATTACCAGGTACCTCACCATGTCATATGCGGGGCAAAAGCACTGGTGTACATGTGTATGTATGAGAGAAAGAGAGAGAATATGTATTTTTGAGAGAGAGAAGTATCCCTCCTCTGATGTGAACTAGGGACATTGAGGGAGGTCTCTGAGAGGTGTGTTCTCTGATATGTGTCTCTCCAGGTGATGAGAGAGTGGGAGGAGGCAGAGAGACAGGCTAAGATTCTCCCTCGCGCTGACAAGAAGGCTGTCATTCAGGTACGGTACCTGGGCTGTGTGTATGCGTGCTATATATATATATATATTTTATTTATTTATTTTACCTTAATTATGACATGGAGTCATGCTGAAACCAAGGTCTCTTTTACAGATGAGCCCTTTATACACATCAATACACATGCGTGCCAGTAATGTGTGTGTGTCTACTAGTGTGTATTAATGTTTCTGCGTGCTCCTGTGTGCAGCACTTCCAGGAGAAGGTGGAGGCCCTGGAGCAGGAGGCAGCAGGAGAGCGACAGCAGCTGGTTGAGACCCACATGGCCCGGGTGGAGGCCCTGCTAAACAGCCGCCGTCGCATGGCCCTGGAGAACTATCTTAGCGCCCTGCAGGCCAACCCACCCAGGGTATATATAAACTCAGCAAAAAAAGAAACGTCATCTCACTGTCAACTGCGTTTATTTTCAGCAAACTTAACATGTGTAAATATTTGTGTGAACATAACAAAATTCAACAACTGAGACATAAACTGAACAAGTTCCACAGACATGTGACTAACAGAAATTGAATAATGTGTCCCTGAAGAAAGGGGGGGTCAAAAGTAACAGTCAGTATCTGGTGTGGCCACCAGCTGAATTAAGTACTGCAGTGCATCTCCTCCTCATGGACTGCACCAGATTTGCCAGTTCTTGCAGTGAGATGTTACCCACTCTTTCACCAAGGCACCAGCAAGTTCCCTGACATTTCTGTGGGGAATGGCCCTAGCCCTCACCCTCCGATCCAACAGGTCCCAGACGTGCTCAATGGGATTGAGATCCGGCCTCTTCGCTGGCCATGGCAGAACACTAACATTCCTGTCTTGCAGGAAATCACGCACAGAACGAGCAGTATGGCTGGTGGCATTGTCATGCTGGAGGGTCATGTCAGGATGAGCCTGCAGGAAGGGTACCACATGAGGGAGGAGGATGTCTTCCCTGAAACGCACAGTGTTGAGATTGCCTGCAATGACAACAAGCTCAGTCCGATGATGCTGTGACACACCGCCCCAGACCATGACGGACCCTCCACCTCCAAATCGATCCCGCTCCAGTGTACAGGCCTCGATGTAACGCTCATTCCGACGATAAACGCAAAACTTTTTGCCAGTCCTGTCTGGTCCAGCGACGTTGGATTTGTGCCCATAGGCGACGTTGTTGCCGGTGATGTCTGTTGAGGACCTGCCTTACAACAGGCCTACAAGCCCTCAGTCCAGCCTCTTGCGGACAGTCTGAGCACTGATGGAGGGATTGTGCGTTACTGGTGTAACTCTGGCAGTTGTTGTTGCCATCCTGTACCTGTCCTGCAGGTGTGATGTTTGGATGTACCGATCCTGTGCAGGTGTTGTTACACGTGGTCTGCCACTGCAAGGACGATCAGCTGTCCGTCCTGTCTCCCTGTAGCGCTGTTTTAGGCGTATCACAGTACGGACATTGCAATTTATTGCCCTGGCCACATCGCAGTCCTCATGCCTCCTTGCAGCATGCCTAAGGCACATTCACGCAGATGAGCAGGGACATTTACATTTTAGTCATTTAGCAGACGCTCTTATCCAGAGTGACTTACAGTTAGTGAGTGCATACATAATTTTTTTATTTTTCATACTGGCCCCCCGTGGGAATCGAACCCACAACCCTGGCGTTGCAAACGCCATGCTCTACCAACTGAGCTACATCCCTGCCGGCCATTCCCTCCCCTACCCTGGATGACGCTGGGTCAATTGTGCGCCACCCAATGGGTCTCCCGGTCGCGGCCGGCTACGACAGAGCCTCGATTCGAACCAGGATCTCTAGTGGCACAGCTAGCACTGCGATGCAGTGCCTTAGACCACTGCGCTACTCGGGGGGACCCTGGGCATCTTTCTTTTGGTGTTTTTCAGAGTCAGTAGAAAGGCCTATTTAGTGTCCTAAGTTTTCATAACTGTGACCTTAATTGCCTACCGTCTGTAAGCTGTTAGTGTCTTAACGACCGTTCCACAGGTGCATGTTCATTAATTTTTTATGGTTCATTTGAACAAGCATGGGAAACAGTGTTTAAACCCTTTACAATGAAGATCTGTGAAGTTATTTTGATTTTTACTAATTATCTTTGAAAGACAGGGTCCTGAAAAAATGACGTTTCTTTTTTTGCTGAGTTTATTTATTTATTTATTTATTTATTTATATATATATATTGAACAAAAATATAAACGCAACATGTAAAGTGTTGGTTTCATGAGCTGAAATAAAAGATCCCAGAAATGTTCCATATACACAAAAAGCTTATTTCTCTCAAATGTTGTGCACAAATTTGTTTACATCCCTGTTAGTCATCATTTCTCCTTTGCCAAGATAATCCATCCACCTGACAGGTGTGGCATAGCAATAAGCTGATTAAACAGCATGATCATTACACAGATGCACCCTGTGCTGGGGACAATAAAAGGCCACTCTAAAATGTGCAGTTTTGTCACACAACACAATGCCACAAATGTCTCAAGTTTTGAAGGAGCATGCAATTGGCATGCTGACTGCAGGAATGTCCAACAGAACTGTTGTCAGATAATTTAATGTTAATTTCTCTACCATAAGCCACCTCCAACGTTGTTTTAGAGAATTTGGCAGTACGTCCAACCGGCTTCACAACCGCAGACCACGTATATGGCGTCGTGTGGGCGAGCAGTTTGCTGATGTCAATGTTGTGAACAGAGTGCCCCATGGTGGCGTGGGGTTATGGTATGGACAGGCATAACCGACAGACAACGAACACAGTGCCGTTTTATCTATGGCAATTTGAATGCACAGAGATAGAGTGATGAGATCCATTGTCATGCCATCCACCGCCATCACCTCATGTTTCAGGATGATAATGCACGGCCCCATGTCGCAAGGATCTGTACACAATTACTGGAAGCTGAAAATGTCCCAGCACCCGTTGCTGACAGGTGTATAAAATCGAGCACACAGCCATGCAATCTCCATAGACAAACATTGGCAGTAGAATGGCCCGTACTGAAGAGCTCAGTGCCTTTCAACATGGCACCGTCACAGGATGCCACCTTTCCAACAAGTCAATTTGTCAACTTTCTGCACTGCTAGAGCTGCCCCGGTCAACTGTAAGTGCTGTTATTGTGAAGTAAAAACGTCTAGGAGCAACAACGGCTCAGCCGCGAAGTGGTAGGCCACACAAGCTCACAGAACAGAACCGCCGAGTGCTGAAGCATGTAAAAATCGTCTGTCCTCGCTTGCAACACTACCTAATGAGTTCCAAACTGCCTCTGGAAGCAACGTCAGTACAAGAGCTTCATGAAATTGGGTTTCCATGGCTGAGCAGCTGCACACAACCCTAAGATCACCATGAGCAATGCCAAGCGTCGGCTGGAGTGGTGAATCACGCTACACCATCTGGCAGTCCAACGGACAAATCTGGGTTTGGTGGATGCCAGGAGAACGTTGCCCCAAAGCATAGTGCCAACTGTAAAGTTTGGTGGAGGAGGAATAATGGTCTGGGGCTGTTTTTCATGGTGTATAATGTACACAGACACTCACTCAGTACATACTGTACAAATACTCTCACTGTGTATACACACTTACCAGTCATTCTCACTATAATCAAACACATTCTCACTTGTACATACACATGTTGTCCACATCAATATCTCTTATTTCTCTCTTAGTTTTTCTATCTCTCTGTCCCTCTCCCCTTCTCTCACTTTCTCTCTTGCTCTCTATCTCTCCCTCATCCCCCTTTCCTCTCCCCCATCCCCCCCTCTCTCTCCCCCTTAGCCTCGTCAGGTGCTGGGCCTGTTGAAGAAGTATGTCCGTGCAGAGCAGAAGGACAGACAACACACCCTGAAACACTATGAACACGTCCGCATGGTGGACCCCAAGAAGGCTGCTCAGATCCGACCCCAGGTACCCCAACTCCCCCAACCACTATAATACACTACCCTACATTCAGCCCATACATTCACTCTGTGTCCCGTGTAACTCCTTTGACCTCTGCACTTCTGACTTCCAGGTGATGACCCACCTGCATGTGATTGACGAGAGGATGAACCAATCCTTGGGGCTGCTCTTCAAGGTGCCCAGCGTGGCCAACGAAATCCAAGACCAAGTTTGTGAGTGTCCGCCCTACTCCTACCCATATACTGCAGTTTCATGTTATTATTTAGTCCATACACAGTGTAGTACTATATTGTGTTATTACAGAGATAATGTACCGACTATACATTTTCCTTTCTGGCTTGTGTTCATTCTGTCTCCTTTTCCTTCTATTTTCCCTTTCTCTCTCTCTCTGTCTGTCTCTGTCTCTCTCTGTCTCTGTGTGTAGCGGTCCTGATGCAGAGGGTTCAGTCAGAGCTGTCTCAGCAAGTCTCATCTCTGCAGAGCGATGGGAGGGTGAGTTTTACACAGGCATGCACACTCTCATTCATAAAATTTTTACAATCTCTCCTATCTCACACACACGCAAACACACACACACCAGGGCTGGGATCAATTCAAATGGAAGGCAGTCAATTCAGGAAGTGATTTTAATAACAAATTCCTAAATAGAAAAACTTAAATCGTTGAAAATAGATGCTGTTAAAAAACAAAAAGATTTGTTATTGAAGTTTACTTCCTGAAATGACTGCCTTCAATTCAAATTGACCCTAGTCCTGACACACACACACACACTCAGTAATGTGTATCCTGTGTTTGCAGACTGATGTCAGGGTGAGCTATGGGAACGATGCCCTGATGCCTGACCAGGCCTACAGCTCTGCCCCTCTGGACCCTGGCATGGGCCTGGACAGACTCGGCTTCATCCACCCAGAGAGTTTCAACCAGCCCAACACCGACAACCATGGTAACACACACACACACACACACAACCAGCCTAACACACAGCCTAGCAAACCACGGCAATACACACACAGGACAGCTGTTTCATGCATTGTTCATTACATTGGTCATGCTCTAAAGCTTTTTATCAGGGAATGTTTCCTCTGTTAAAACAGTTGAGCCTGTTGACGCTCGTCCAGTTCCAGATAAAGGTCTGCCACTCGGCCTGCTAAGGGTCTGTGTGTGTGTGTGTGTTCCTATAGTATGTGTATGATTGTGTTTATACTGTATGGGTATGTTTGTGGTTATGGTTGTGTTTGTCTCTTTGATTATGTGTGTATGTTTGGATGGTGTATGATGCTCTCTCTCTCTCACTGTGTGTGTTTAGTCTCTGCTCTGAAGCCTGAGGAGTTCCCTGAGGTGCGGATGGAGAAAGAGAGGCAAAGCGCCAGCTATGAAGTGCATCATCAAAAACTGGTACAAAAACATTCAGTACCTATACACTGGTACATGTTCATACATGTATACATCACAAACTGTCTCAGTAGTTCACATGTTTGCGATAGAAACTGGAACATTTCCATAATGGTTTATCTGTGCATTGGAGACTGGTAAACACAGTTCTCGTCACAGTCTATAACTGCAGAAACCCTCAACAAACACACAATCTCCAGTTTGATTGACAGGTGTTGTTGTGTTGATTATTACCAGGTGTTCTTCGCTGAGGATGTTGGCTCCAACAAGGGTGCCATCATTGGGCTGATGGTGGGCGGGGTTGTCATAGCGACAGTCATCGTCATCACTCTGATTATGCTGAGGAAGAAGCAGTACACCTCCATTCATCACGGAGTCATCGAGGTAAGAGAGTGTGTGTGTGTATGCGTGCGTGCCTGTGATTTGTCTGTGCATGTGCGTGGGTGTTCTGTACCTGTGTGTTAACCTGGTGTGTGTGTGTGTTGCAGGTGGATGCTGCAGTGACCCCAGAGGAGCGACACCTGTCCAAGATGCAGCAGAATGGTTATGAGAACCCCACCTACAAGTTCTTCGAACAGATGCAGAACTAAGGAGCTACCCTTTGATCCCTCACTGACCCTGAACCCCCTTAACCCCTCCTACTTAGGCCATGTTCCATTTTGGTCCCTAAACCCTTCTCCTAGCTCCTGCTCTTATTTTCAATGGATCTGAAAGGACTGGATAGGTGAAACCAGTATGACTGAAGCTCCACGTAAATCTATTGGGTTAGAAAGAGCCGTAGTCATATTACTTACAGCTACCCAAGGGTAGTGAAGGCCAAGGGGCTAGGGGCCAAAATGGAACCAAGCCACACTCACCCTCCATCCCTTCCTTGTAAGGTGCAGCACATCAACATCCATAGCTGCCATTAGTCAGACAAGGGTATCCTTCTTCACCTGCACATTTTTAGCCAATCACAGATGAGATCCCGTAGCGTTTGTACAGAACAGAGAAGCTCATTGATTGATTAATCTGTCCATGTATCTGTGGGTTGGCCCTCCCCCTCAGTACAGCACTCACATCTCTAAGAGGGCTAAACAGAGGCATCATATACACCTGTAATCTTCCTCCCTCTTCCTCACTCCCTCTGAAGCACTCTCCTCTCCCCCTCCTCCATCACTCCCATGCACTCCTCTCCCGCTCCCCCTCTCAGATGACGGATGTGCTGTGTTTGGTGATGACATAACAGCTCTTAGCGCTAGCGAAGGGAGGAGGGGCTCAGTCTACCCTGAGCTCCTCCGCAGAATTATATCCCAAGTGTTTCAGGTTTGTTTTTCAGAAAAAAATATATACAAAAAATTGATATATAGATATATAAATACATCATCAGAAATATGTAAATGGTGAAGAAATATTGAATGTTTTCATTTGTTATTTTTATTTTGTGCATAATGTATTGAAACAAGGCAGAAAAAAACTAACTGTAACTATATGTAGTGCATGGCGATATTGATGACCGATATACTTAGAGGGAACCCGGCTCCTGTTCTGGGGACTGGGCCTCTCATGTAGACTTAGCAGGATTTAACATTTCAGTGTCTTCTTTGATCTTGTGATACGAAGAAGAGAAAAAAAGTATTTGGAATCTGGTCTGCTTTGTTGTCACGGAGACATGCTTTAAACAGAATCTGTGCTCTCCTTTGTTTTCTCACCCCCATGCCTCACCCTGTTTTAGCTGCATGGGCTGAATGCTCTATCTATATGTAATATGATATGAAGTGGAATAGTATCTGAAAGGAAGTCGATTGTGCTACTGTTTGCATTATATGCACTCATTTAGAGTCTGATTATTTACTGGTATTACTGCTCTGTTTATCGGCATTCCATGTCCATAGAATTGTTTCAGCTCCATTCCTCATTGCCATTCCGGAAATCTCCAGCATTTTACCTATCTTTCCTATTCCTATATCGTCTGTGAATATCTATGAATATCATTTACGGAACAGAAATAATTAGTTTTTATTTTTCTCAGGCTTTCAGACTATTTTTCTATCTTTCTTTCCCTCTCTCTATCCTACAGTCCCAACAGCCCTTCTCCCCCTCCCTTCTCTATCACTCCCTCTCTCTCTGTGCTGTGTCAGCTTGGGGTGTGCGGCGCTTTGGAGTTGTGTAAGAGAGAATTAGATTAAGTTGATAGAGAGAGGGACAGGGATTGAGAATGTGATAAAGATTAGAATGTACAAATCTGATATTCCCGTCACCTTTCCTATCATCACTCCTGCACACACACACACATTCCCTCCAGTGTCTCACACACGCAACATACATTATACACAATTTTTCTATCTTTCCTTGGTTGTTTGATACATGTACAGTGTATGTGTTCTGTGGTGGATATCCCCCTCTTGCTTGTCTTGTCAAATCTCTCATTAAGTCTCAGACCTCCTGGCTTTAAAAGCAGAGGCTAAAGAAATACTGATCTCAGACCAGTTTATTGATGGTTAAATTGATCTCGGACCAATGTGTGAGAGGCTAAATACAGGGACCTGTATAAGATTCGTAAGTGCAATTCCTCAAGATTTAATGATTTCCTTACGAACTTCTCAAATATCGTACATAAAAAAAAAAAAAAAGATGTTTGTTTCTAGGCAACCGTTTTAGCTAGTCATCTAGCTAGCCATGGCAATCGGGTTAGCATATTTCTTACTGAGATTACTGTTCTAAAACATGTTCTTGGGTTTAAAGTAATCAATACTGAAACTTTCAGATGAATTTTGAGTGAATTAAACATTTCAATTGCTTTCATTAGCTTTTTCTCTCACTGCCCTGAGTTTAAGACAATGGTTTAGCTAGCTTGGAATTAAGAACATTTCCAATACTTTATTTTCAAGAATCTAATTTCTTCTTAACTTTTTGCTTAAGGAGCAACACAAGAAATAGTGCAAGAAAATGTCCAATAACCTTTAAGGAATAGCAAGTTTTCTTAACTTTCTTCTTAAGTCTATAGTTAAGGACAAATTGACAGTTAAGAAGACATTTCTTCCTAAGAAGGTTTTGTGAATCTGGGCCCTGATCTGGAGGACACAACTTCACAATGTTGAGATTCAATGTGTTATGTAGACCAGATGTCATTGTCTGTTAGTTAGTGTTTGTTACATTTCTATCTGCATTTCTAACTGAATGCACCCCAGATCTGGGATCAGTATTTAGAGGCAGTAGTAGAGACGAGACATTCCCCGTACCCAAAATGGAGTCAAACTACAGCCTCCAATAGACATGAATGTGACATTCATATTGTGCAATTATTCCACAGATCTACACACACAAACTGAATCAGGTAAATGTGTTGTTGTCGTCAAGGATACTCGTGCTATCTTTCTTTCATTTGTTAATTCTGTGACTTTTTTCTCTGTACCTACACAAACTATTTGCTTAGACTGAGAAAAAGCTTTCTACACACTATCCCATCAATAAAAAATGTAATGTACATACATATCTCTGGTGTGGTATTCATGACAGAGCTTGAATCCTGTGTGAATGAAAAGTGTTGTTTATATAGAAGGAACTATAAAACATTTTAACACGTTATCGTGGTGCAAAAGAGAGAGAGTGTGTTTGTGCATACGCATTACATTGGAGGAATGTTACACTAAGTCCTTAGGAAAACACTTGCCACTTTATTCCCCCTGGAGGACAGAAAAGGTCCAGCTCATCAGGGAAACACACTCAAAATAAAATACAAAACAGATCCTTTATAAATGGAAAATATGAAAATACACTGTCCTTGTGGCTATCAAAAACATTGAGTACCGGTATATACAATGGAAACGATACTAAGCTACAGATAAAGGAACAAAAAAAATGCAAAGCTCATATTTCATTTTCAAACATACGCACACACTCCACTCAAACGCTCATGCACACATACACAGACACTCTCCCTCCCCTCCAACAAGCATCTCCGACCTGGTTAAAATAAAATAGGAAAACAACCTCCCCATCCTGCCTCAGCCCCTTCTCCAATCAAACCCAAAGGAGTAGGATGAAGTTGCCCATAGACACTGTTTTAAGGTCAGTTTATCATTTCCACCTCCTAATGGTTAAGCTTAGGGCTGGTCATAGTAGTCTGAACCTAGATCTGTGCCTATGGGCAACTTCTACCCTTAGAGAGCCCCAGGCTCCTCCCCCCTCAGCTGTCCTGTGTGGAGGTGTACACAGTGGTGATGGGCTGGCCAATTCCGTGCAGCTGAATGCGGGCCAGCTTCTTCTGCTCACACTCCGTCACCAGGTTGTTGAGCTCGGCAGCGCTGTAGCCAATCAGAGTCCTCAGGTCACACACAAACTTGTAGACGAAGCGCTTGCCCTGTACTTTGCTGATCATGTCCCCGTCATAGTAATACCTGAGAAAATAATCAGATTAAGTAGCCCTTTACAGTCGTACCCGTATAAGGGTTGAAAATGGCAGATTTGTGCATCGGTAAGCGCCTAAATTGGAACGCAGTGGCTGTACAGTTACATGCTATAAATTGTCAGAGCTCAGATGCTACGCTTCACAGCGCCGTATGGGTATTGACTGACAGCCGTTCTGAACTTGAGCATTGCACGCGACAAGAAGTTGCACCCATCCCTCCCGCTAATTGGGTAACTTTTGCAAATGTTTTGTTGTAGGAGTGCGGGAAATGCTGTAAATTAAGAGGACACTATGTATTTTGAAAGATGAGATGTTGAGGATTATGTCATACAAGCAAGCAAACACCCGTGAGTCCAAAAGTGCACTTCACATTTCCATATCATAAAATTAATGTCATATACAGTGTCAACGTTTATGGTCACTATGTTTGATGTACAGTTACAAGATGACATGGCGTCATACCCTGGGTTGTGCACTTTGGAGAGGTGTGTGGCCACTTGGAGACACCAGTTAGTCTTTTTCTTTCTTTCTTTCTTTCTTTCTTATGTTGCACCTACCACATTTTCCAGGAATATTCTAATTATGATACTGAATGTATTCACAGTATGTTCATATTTAATTATCAACAAATGCGGCGAAAAGTACAGTAAATGGAAAATGCACAACAACAAAACAATCGACAGTGTAATGTTTGAATTCAGTCTTGTGTCAGGTTAACTGTTGTGTACGCACCTTTGGTCTAATCATTTTCCCATAATCTCCAAACTGTTCCCATTCAATTGCTACCATGCTTATGCATATGAATTTCATATTTATTCTGTAAGAAACCTTTCAATTTAGCCCTATCCATTTAGGACAATTCCCATGAGTGTAAAGGGTTCAAATTAAACAAGACAAGAGAGTTCAAGACATAAGATAAGAGATATTGAACGTATGCAACAAAAATTTTAAAGAGAGGAAAAGGGAAAGAAACAGGAGGAGTGACATACCGGAGCGCTCTGCTGAGTTTCTCGTAGTTCATGGTGGGCTTGTTCTTGCGGTGGCCCCATTTCTGGGCCACCAGTTCAGGCTGGTTGAGTTTGAACTCCCCCTCCTCTCCCACCCAGGATATACAGTCTCTAGCGTCCTTATCAGTCAACAGCTCCAAAAGGAACTGCCACAGCTGGATCTGACCATTGTTACCTGCAGGGACAGGTGAGAGGACGTTTGTGTGTGTGTGTGTGTGTGTACATCCACATCAGATTTGAGCACATGCACATACACACACCATTAATGCACTCATTTTAAAAAACATACCAAGACTTATGCTCTTAAGGTGTACACACACACACACACAAAAAACACACACGTTGTATGCGTACCTGTGCGGTTGCCAGGTGAGCTGCGTTCCTCTCCTCCGGAGATGCGGGGTGTTTTGGGGCCGCGGCTCTGCTTCAGCACCTTGATGGTGGTGGGTGTGGTCTGCACAGCGGCCGGGATGATCTGGACCTCTGGGGGCGGAGACAGAAGGTTCAAACAGTTAGAAACATACAGGATTAAGTTAGACACTGATCTATGGTCAGTTTGCTGTTCCTACCCATGTTTGCACAGGTAAGAATTTGGATAAAAGTAAGCTGATCCTAGATCTGTGCCCACAGGCAACAACTCACACAGAGGAAAACAAGATAGTGTGGTAGATGCATTCAGGGTGACACGGAGTCAGAGAGACAGGAAATAAACGTACGTTGGTCAATGGTGACTGTGGCCTCCTGGCCAGACTGGTCCTGACTGGCCAACACATCTGTAAAGAACAGGGACAGATACAGGATGTATCAATTAACATGCTTGCCCAGGCTCCCATCCCCTTTTCCTAGCCTCTATCCCTTCAGAATTTTCAGTACTGAACGCACTGGGGACAAATTGGTTGAATCAATGTTGTTTCCACGTCATGTCAATGAAACCAACGTGGAATAGACTCCCCATAGCAGATGTGAGTAAGACCTTTAAACAGGTCAACATTCACAAGACCAGACGGATTAACAGGATGAATACTCAAGAGCATGCGCTGACCAGCTGGCAAGTGTCTTGACTGACATTGTCAACCACTCCCTGACCCAGTCTGTAATACCTACATGTTTCAAGCAGACCACCATAGTCCCTGTACCCAACAACGCCAAGGTAACCGTCTAAATGACTAATCGCCCTGTAGCACTCACAGCTGTAGCCATGAAATGCTTTGAAAGGCTGGTCATGGCTCACATCAACACCATCATCCCAGACACCCTCGACCCACTCCAATTCGCATACCGCCCCAACAGATCCACAGATGACGCAAACTCTATTGCATTCCACTGCGCCCTTTCCCACCTGGACAAAAGGTGAGAAAGCTGTGCCCTCCAAGCTCATCACTAAGCTAAGGACCCAGGGACTCAACACCTCCCTCTGCAACTGGATCCTGGACTTCCTGACAGGCCGCCCCCAGGTAGTGAGGGTAGGCAACAACACATCCGCCACGCTGACCCTCAACACGGGGGCCCCTCAGCGGTGCGTGCTCAGTCCCTTCTTGTACTCCCTGATCACCCACGACTGCGTGGCTGCGCACGACTCCAACACAATCATTAAGTTTGCCGACAGTGGTATGCCTGATCAGACGACAATGAGACAGCCTATAGGGAGGTCAGAAACCTGGCAGTGTGGTGCCAGGACAACAACCTCTCCCTCAACATCAGCAAGACAAATGAGCTGATTGTGAACTACATGAAACCTAGGGCCGAGCGGTTGAGAGCTTCAAGTTCCTCGGTGTCCACATCACTAAGGACCTATCATGGTCCAAACACACCAACAAAGTCGTGAAGAGGGCGCGACAACGCATCTTCCCCCTCAGGCAAGCGGTACCTTAGCGCCAAGTCTGGGACCAAAAGGCTCCTGAACAGCTTCTATCCCCAAGCCATATGACTGCTGAAAATTTAATTAAATTGCTACCCGGACTATTTGCATTGATACCCTTTTTTGGGGGGCACTGACTCGCTTGCACCAGCTCTATGCACACTCACTGGACTCTACCCACACACTCACACATACTACATATTCTCTCACACACACATTGCCACACACACACTGCTGTTCTGTTTATCATCTATCCTAATTGCCTAGTCACTTTTACCTCTACCTACATGTACCTCAACTACCTCGTATCCTGGACATTGACTCGGTACTGGTACTCCTTTTATATAGCCTCTTTATTGTTATTTTATTGTGTGAAACTATTTCCTATTTTTATTTAGCTGTTTTTTGTCATATTTAACTCTGCATTGTTGGGAAAGGGCTCATAAGTAAGCATTTCACGGTAAAGTCTACACCTGGTGTATTTGGCGAATGTGAAAAATACAATTTGATTTGACGTCTGTTCCCAGTGGGAAGGGACCAGGCACGTGTAAACAATATGGTTATTATGGCTCTACTTAGGCTTGAAATTGGCTAGCCCCTAACACACTGACTCAACACAGAGTAGCTACAACACACACTCACACTTGCGAAGCAGCTCCAGGTGGCTCCAGAGGATCTCTCCACTGGGGACCCTCTGCAGGAACTCATCCTGGGTGAAGGTGCAGAGGTCGCGACCCAGGATGTGAATCCCTCCCACCTCCATCTCGTCAATGCTGAACTCCTTCATCACCCACACGGCCCAGTGGATCACCTGGTCCGCCGTCCACTCTACTGGGTCTGAGAGGAGAGAGACACATTACAAGACTGTGACAATGCTGACTACAGCTTTCTTGTCTGTTAAAAATGTCAAGGCAACTGCAGCAAACTGGTCTCACTTTGTACAATGGTGTGTAACTGCCTGATTAATTATGTTTTTCAGAGTGTGTGTGTGTGTTTATCTGCGTTGTGTCTTATTAATGTGTTTGTGTTTCAATGTAAGTGTGTGTACTCATCACCGTAGGGTATCCCCAGGCGGACCTGCTCCTTGCGGTAGCCCTCCAGTGCGGCGGCCCAGCGGGTCACCTGCTCCGACGTGTCGTCTGACAGGGAGGAGCGCTCCACCGCGATCAGCTGGCCCTCCTCCATCAGGGTGCCCTCCTCCCCCGCTGCATCTGGGTCGATCACCACCTCCACCGTCTCCACCGGCTTCACGATCTCCAGGATGTTCAGCTTCTCCTCGCCTGGATGAAAGGAGGCAGGGGGGTGAGTGGAGGTTAGAGTGTGATTCAATAGTATCGACAGTCTAATTGTTATGGTGCAACATTTGTGTGCGTCTATAGTTTGGGTGCCTGGGTTTTGATAAAGTCTTGGTGCAGAGTCTTGTGTGTGTACCTGGCTTGGTGATGATCTGTAGGCTGAGTTGCACTGTGCCATCTGTCTTCACTCCCTGATCAAAGAGGCTGTGGTCTGGATGCAGCTGGAGAGACAGAAAGAAAGAGAAAGTGGACAGGAGAGGGAGAGGGAGAGAGAAAATGGCAGATTAATAAGAGAGGAGGGAGCCAATGGGAGGGTCAGAAAGGGAGATCAAAAGAAATTAGATAACTCTAAACATATTTCTCCATCAAATGATGAACTCTAAAACACACGAGACGCTCCATCAGTATCAGGTCTGATCAGGTTGGGCAGATATTTCAACCCCATAAATAAATCAAATCAAATGTTATTTGCCACATGCACCGAATACAACAGGTGTAGACATTACAGTGAAAGGCTTACTTACAAGCCCTTAACCAACAACGCAGTTAAGAAAATAAAAAAAATAAAAGTGTTAAGTAAAAAATACAAAATAGCAAATAATTAAAGAGCAGCAGTAAAATAAGATAACAGTAGGGAGGCTATATAAAGGGGGTACTGGTACAGAGTCAATGTGCGGGGGCACCGGTTAGTCGAGGTAATATGTACATGTGAGTAGAGTTAAAGTGACTATGCATAGATAATAAACAGAGAGTAGCAGCAGCAGGATGGGGGGGGGGACAATGCAAATAGTCTGGGTAGCCATGATTAGCTGTTCAGGAGTCTTACGGCTTGGGGGTAGAAGCTGTTAAAAAGCCTTTTGGACCTAGCCTTTTGGACCTAGACGTTAAAAAGCCTTTTGGACCTAGGTAGCGCTTGCCGTGCGGTAGCAGAGAGAACAGTCTATGACTAGGGTGGCTGGAGTCTTTGATAATTTTTAGGGCCTTCCTCTGACACCGCCTGGTATAGAGGTCCTGGATGGCAGGAAGCTTGGCCCCAGTGATGTACTGGGCCGTACGCACTACCCTCTGTAGTGCCTTGCAGTCGGAGGCAAAGCAGTTGCCATACCAGGCGGTGATGCAACCAGTCAGAATGCTCTGGATGGTGCAGCTGTACAACTTTTTGAGGATCTGAGGACCCATGCCAAACCTTTTCCGTCTCCTGAGGGGGAATAGGCTTTGTCGTGCCCTCTTCACGACTGTCTTGGTGTGTTTGGAACATGATAGTTTGTTGGTGATGTGGACACCAAGGAACTTGAATCTCTCAACCTGTTCTACCACAGCCCCGTCGATGAGAATGGGGGAGTGCTCAGTCCTCGTTTTTTTCCTGTAGTCCACAATCATCTCCTTTGTCTTGATCACGTTGAGGGAGAGGTTGTTATCCTGGCACCACACGGCCAGGTCTCTGACCTCCTCCCTATAGGCTGTCTCATCGTTGTCGGTGATCAGGCCTACCAGTGTTGTGTCGTCTGCAAACTTAATGATGGTGTTGGAGTCGTGCCTGGCCATGCAGTCATGGGTGAACAGGGAGTACAGGAGGGGACAGAGCACGCACCCCTGAGGGGCCCCCGTGTTGAGGATTAGCGTGGCAGATGTGTTGTTACCTACCCTTACCACCTGGGGGCGGCCTGTCAGGAAGTCCAGGATCCAGTTGCAGAGGGAGGTGTTTAGTCCCAGGGTCCTTAGCTTAGTGATGAGCTTTGAGGGCACTATGGTGTTGAACGCTGAGCTGTAGTCAATGAATAGCATTCTCACGTAGGTGTTCCTCTTGTCCAGGTGGGAAAGGGCAGTGTGGAGTGCAATAAAGATTGCATCATCTGTGGATCTGTTGTGGCGGTATGCAAATTGGAGTGGGTCTAGGGTTTCTGGGATAATGGTGTTGATGTGAGCCATGACCAGCCTTTCAAAGCACTTCATGGCTACAGACGTGAGTGCTACAGGTCGGTAGTCATTTAGGCAGGTTACCTTAGTGTTCTTGGGCACATGGACTACGGTGGTCTGCTTGAAATACAGGCCTCTATCAGTACCTGGATGTCCTGTAGACAGATCTCATATCCGTCCAAAGACATCTGGATACGGGGCTCCAGGAGCTTCTTCAGGTTACCGATTGGCTCATTGATGTCGATGTCCTGTTGGATCAGATCGGCTGATGTGATGGTCTGCTCCTCAACCCTGAAAATGACAACCACACAAACGAAAACACACAAATAGTAATGTTAAGTCATCAGTAGTAGGGAGAGAGCTGGGTTTGAATTGATGGGCTTATGGGAGCCTGTTCACATTGTAAAATATATAACTCACCCCTCCTCCAGACACTCCTGTTTCTCCTGTCCATCGATCTCGATCTCTATCATCTCCTCGGTCTCGCTTTTAGACATTGCTGTACACCAAGATTAAACCTATTCTGAGGAAAAGACTGACAGACGGGGAGGGGGGGTAAGTATCAATCAATATGAAGATTACATCAATTATTTTCAGATGTGATGTTAAAAACACATACAATGGGTTCACATCAGCTATCATCAATTATAAACCGGGTCATTCGAGCCCTGGATGTTAATTGGTATATTTAAGCAATAAGGCCCTAGGGGTTGTGGTATATGGCCAATATACCACAGCTAAGGTCTGTTAATGGTCATGAAGAAACGCGGAGTGCCTAGATACAGCCCTTAGCCGTGGTATATTGGCCATATATCACAAACCCTGAGGTGCCTTATTGTTATTATAAACAGGTTACCATCGTAATTAGAACAGTAAACAAGTAGTTTTGCGTCATACCTGTAGTATATTGTTTCATATACAATTTAAAAAACATTGAGGAATAGTCGCAAAATTGTCACTTGATCATCATTGGCACATTAATAAAACATTTAGTAAATTACCATGAATGCATTTTATCAACAGTGGCATTTTACCTATGGAGGACTAAAAGTGCCACAATTAAATAAATAAATACACCATTAAATAATTACTTAAATGTGTCATTAATTAATTAAAATTAGAATTAAATACATAAATGTGTAATTAAATGTATCATTAATTAATTCAAATACCGATTCATTTCATGTAAAATACATATATAATTATTTCACTATTTACATTTACATTTCATGATCCTGCATTGCAGTGATTCATGAATTACTTAAAACTGTCAAACTGACCCATCAAAAGTTGGTAGGCGGAACCTAACGCCTGATTGGTTACCCTCTGCATCAAGCCAAGACAAATCAATTCCGGATAATGTCAGCAGGTCCTGCTTCTACATCCTCTGCTAAGTTTAAAATGTCTCTAACCAACTCCCTGGAAAGTTCACGGAGATCCTCCATTGTCTCTATCCAGGTTGGCCTACTCTACTTCAGACCAAAGCAATGGATCAGACTAGATTCGCGTTAGCCCCGCCCACTGACTTTGATGGGTCAGTTTGACAGTTTTAAGTAATTCATGAATCACTGCAATGCAGGATCATGAAATGTAAATGTAAATAGTGAAATAATTATATATGTATTTTACATGAAATGAATCGGTATTTGAATTAATTAATGATACATTTAATTACACATTTATGTATTTAATTCTAATTTTAATTAATTAATGACACATTTAAGTAATTATTTAATGGTGTATTTATTTATTTAATTGTGGCACTTTTAGTCCTCCATATTTACCAAGTATTTAAAAATAAATAATAAATAAAGAACATTGAAAAGGTTAATGGCTAGTGACTGACAGTTTTGATGAATAGAGTTGAGGGTGCCTCGGTTTCTCATTGGGCGGCAGAGAGTTGTGTGCGCTGAAGTACTAACTCCAGGGCGAGGCCTCTCCAAAGCATAGGCCTTGCGGTGGGCCATTAGTTTATAAATCATGACATCAACTTGATCAATTTAACTCCCTTGAATGAAAACACTTCGTGTATATATATGTATATATCAGTACTAATGCACTTTATACGCGTAGCATAGCGCTACAATGTTGTAGCATTACAAAGCTCGCTAGCCAGCATATTTGTCAGCGATGTTACAAGCGCGAAACGGAGGTCGGTATCATGTGAAATACACAATTGATACCGACTGTAAAAAAAAAAAAGTATACACTAAAATAACTGATTTAAGTGTCGATTAAAATATACTCTGAAATTTATAATCTGGAAAACTTTGAAACGGAAATGGAAGAAACGGAAATAAAACAGCAGAGGGGCAAACGCAAAGGAGCCGGAAATCCTGGCTAAGTTTACAGTGTTGTCCAGACTTCCGAGAGCGGTCAGGGGGAATACCGGAGTAATTTGCTCGATTAGAAAATTATATTTAGCTAGCTATAACATTAGGAAAGCTTATTTATATTTGGCTAGCCGTATAACGTGTCAACACGGCGAACAACTGGACCGCACAATGAGCAAGCTGTTGTTGGCATTAGCTAGCAATAATAGCTAGCTAAGTTACTGGCTAACGTTAATAACGAACGTGTCGAAAGTTGGATTTTGGATGTACTTTTGGATTTTGAAGCACATCGTAGACAAGTCATTTTAGAAAGCTATTTTGTAGTTGTAAAGTAGTCTGAAAACGATTCCTTTCATTAGTATTTAGATTTTATGTTATTGTTTTTAACTAGGTTAATGCATCCACCATAGCATGTGGCTTAGCGGATCAACAAGCTAACGTTTGCTATCTAGCCGCTAACTAGCAAACATAGTTTGATACAAAAAGCGGGAAGACCGATGAGGCATAGTGAAAGAAGATACAATTCCTTTCAGAGAGACAATGTAATGGATTTCATATATATACATTTAAAGTAGTTTATGCTCATACCTCTTCAAATGTACACTCCAAGATTGTGGACTTGCTATGAGTCGATGTAGGATAGCAAGCTAGCTAGCCTTTCCACTCAAATCGAATCGAATTCAAGTTTTTGGTCAACGATGGGGCGGGGACAAGCTTGCCTTTTAGACATAGACCAGCGTTTACTCTTGTATAAATAAATCATGATGTTTGTGAATTTGGTTGTAATTAATTATGTGTATGAATGTGACGTTTGATAGCAAGCATAATTATTGACAATAATTTTCAGCATTTAACTCACTTGGAACAGCAGGCTGTTGTAGATAAGAACACTCACTGTATGCTTGCACTTATGTATTGAAATAAACCAGCCATCAGTAATCATTATACCACAATGTCCCTCCCACAGACATCCGATTAAATTCAACGTTTGAATATGTAATTAATAAAATCCCTATCTTTGAGGGTAAACAAACATGTAAAGTTTATGAGTTCTTATTACAGAAGGATGAGTTATTCATTTCAAAGTATTATCTAGTATACACTTGCGCTTGACCCCCCCCCCCCCTTACTATGCCTGTGATATGTTATTTTAAGATTAATGCACTAACTGTAAGTCGCTCTGGATAAGAGTGTCTGCTAAATGACTAAAATGTAAAACATGTAATTATCTAAATACTATAATTATGCTGCAGTGCCTCTTCATAATAAATACATATTGTATGTAATGTTGATATATCTAATATTCAAGAAGACTAATCTTGTACCAGTAAGTGACATCTGCATAATGCTCAGACACCTCAAACATGCCCACTCCAAAAAATAAGTAGACATTTCTCAAGGGAATAAATAATTAGATGGGGTGTACAGTAAGCAAGGAGTGGGTGGTAGGGAATAGACTGATTTCAGACTAGGCAACACATTCAGTAGCCATGATCTCACAATATATTACAGTTATAAGCCAATTTCAGTCTCCAAATAAATACATTTGTAACCCCTGTGTTTCTATGTTACCTAGCTATAAGCCAATTTCATAGTGTCCAAATAAATATAGTTGTAACCACTGTGTTTGTATGTTACCTAGCTAAAGGGCCAGTCAAGTTATGGGGCAAATCAAGATTACCTACAAAGTTTAACGATAGCCTTGATTGCAATGCGCAACAGAGGTCCCCTCATCATTTCTGATAGGATGGGCCAACTATTCCACTTCTTCCATTCTAGATTTATAAAAGCCTTTGACACTTCATTTAGTTCATCAAAAATAGTCATGATTGATGTACGTTGTACGCTGTCAGTGTTTGTTACAGGGTTTAGTGTAGGTTTTCCATGCTCTCTGGTAGTGTAAAATCAGTGCACAGACGAGACCGGAAGTGTATAATTTGTGGCGTAAAAAGTGTAGTCACACCAAAGATATTTATAACACCAAAGATATTTATAACTAACCCAAGATAGTTCATCTGTGTCATTTACAGTGGGAGCAAATTAAGCATAGTGGGCAGAACAAGCAAGGAGGTGGGCAAAACCGAGCACGAGCTAGCGAGATCCTATTGGCGCCTTGTAGCATGTAGTATTTGCAGTCTGTAGTTTCCGTTAGGGAACGCCTCCTCTGTGAAGTGCGCGTGTGCACAAACTCAATTCGACTTTGTACTCCTAAACAACGCACATTTTTTAAAACTTTGGCAAAGCATCAAGTCCATAAAATTTAGTGCACTGTGTTCGTAATAGATTATAGTTTTGGGAACAGGCAAATGTTTTGAGATCAGATGTTTCATCGATGAGAAAATTGGCAGAATGTCGGCCCAGTTTTACCTAGTTCCATCCTCTCCCACTACCCGCAACTGGACTTCCTCTCACTACCCTATTTGGTGGTGAGAAAACGTTCTAAACGGATGCTTCAGCTTTATAGCCCATTTGACGTGTCTGGGTTACCCCTTTTGTATGTGGTCCACACTGTACCGTCTTTGGTTTAGTCGACATCGAAAATGGCGGAATACCTGGCGTCCATTTTCGGTACAGAGAAAGATAAGTGAGTAAAATGTTCTTATAGCCTTGCTTATTTGGTCAAACAATCATACGATCTAGGCCTAAGAGAATTTTTGCATTGCATGTGGCTGGCTAGGCTAGTTACCTAGGATATATCATGTAGCATTATAAGTTGTGAAACGTCAACGGCGTTAGCTTCTAGCTTAGCTAGCTAACATTAGCATGGGGTTAATAACATGTTGTTTGAACGTATGCACCGTTCTTTTATAGTTCAATGGTGTGCACAGATGGATAAGGGATCTTTGATGTGTGTGTGCTGAGCAGTTTGCCAGTCCCACCTATCTAAAATGTGCATTAACTATATTACTAACTAGCTAACTACCCTGATAGACAATTTAGGCTTAGGGCATTATTTCGTGTGAGACCAGGGAAACATGGGCAACTTGCTCTCTTTGCCAAATTAGCTAGCTAGGCTAGCTATACCAATTATTTATTTAATCTGTGGCTATACATTCAGTAACTAGCTAGCTATTATGCTAACTAGTTAATGATAACTAGTTAGCTAGTTCCGAGTCCCAAGTTCCTCCACTGATGCCAATGTTGTATATCCAAGCTAAGTAAATTGAGAAAATAAGGTAGGCCATTCACAATTTATTAACGTTAGCTGATATAGGCCCTAGTTATACAATCTGATCTAGCTAGCTAACGT